GGTCATTGATACCCACTTTTATATTTTCCCAACTTTTTCAGAAACTTTTAACGCTATTTACTACGTAGTTGACAAAAGAAGGGCCTATATTATATATATAACTTAATTTCTTTTTTATTTTATTTTAAATAAAAGATTTGGTTAAGATGATTTTTTTAATATTATTTTAATATTATTTACATTATGGTAAATATTAAAAAAAATATTGGTTATTGATATTCACTTTTATATTTTTCCATCTTTTTTAAAAAAATTTTAAAAATACCCCTAAAAATTAAAATCTATTTTTTTCATTCATTTTTAACTTCATTTGAGTGTGTTTTATTTTATTATATACTTTTTATATTTTAATATATTATTTTTGTATCTTTTTTGTTTTTTCAATATTTTTTTGATCATTCAAAATTTACCCAATTAGAGCGGTTGAATGGGTCAGCTTACCGATTAAGTCGGTTAAATCGCTTCCTCATGTACGGTTAACCGTTTTAGTTCGTTTTTGCGACCACTAGCTCTCGCTCGTACTCCTCGGCAGAGAAATTACATTTCCATTGCACCATCAATATTTATCATAGTGTGGTCCCAATTGTGCCACATGTCGTTAACTAAATAAAGTTCTTGCAACAAGTTGAGAGAACAACGTAAGAGAGAGCGGGGATGTTCAGGTAGGATGTTTCTATATATATATATATATATAGAGGGAGAGGACCATGTATAAACTATTTCCCTCGTCATTTTCGCTTCCCAACCATCGATTTCGTCGTCAAAAGAAAATGAAAATGAAGTGCTTTGGTACTTCAGCAGAAAAGACTTGTGATTTTTTTAAATAAAAAGTTAATATAAATAAAATATATATTTATATATAATAACATATTAAAATTTTAAAATAAAAAACTCAAAAATAAAGTAGAAATAAAAAAAAGCATGTACTACAATCTTATTAGGTTCAACAAGCTTATAAGATAACACGGCCATGAAGATTAAAGGGAAAGGCTTTTATGCTGCCCCTACAGCATAGAAGTTCTATTCTCTCCCTACCATCCAGCCATTCAATTTAGATCAAAGGAGTCACTTACCTGTTGATCTTAGATTTGACGTCTTAAAGTATTTTATTTTTAATTTTTTTTTATACAAATTATATGAATATGTGTGTCATTTTCTTATTGAGACGTACCTATAAAAAATATTAAAAATAATTTATCGATAAAATAATATAATCAAAATACCCCTTGAAACTTTCCGAAGTATTTGTGGTCATTTTATTTTATTAAAAATATTTTTTTTATATTTTTTGCTAGTGCGAGTTTAATGAAATAATGGACGTCCAAAATTTGGTGTCAAAATAGTTTATAGAAAAAAAATTAAAAATAAAATAATATAGAGACGTGATATTATGATTGAAGCAATCTCCATTCAAAATGAACGGTTAGATAAGGGAGAGGATAGAACTTCTATGAGATCAGTATAAACATAAAAAGCTTGCCCACGATTAAATACCACACTGAAAGGATATTCTTGTAAATTTTGAAAGAAGATATGGATATATTTGAGAGTAGTTTAGCTGGTCTTACTCGTAATAAAAAAAAATTAAAAAATATTTTTTTAGAACCTTGCGTGCTATGCACAAGGATCCCATAATAGACCCTTTAAATTTGTATACAGCCTAGGCTCTAAACATTCAAATTAGAGCCTACTTTTAAATAATGTTGAGAAATATGGTTTCAATACTGAAAATTTTTGTAATAGCTTTAAAATATATTTTTATTTTTATTTATAAAGTTTAAAGCTTAAAAAATGTTGTAGATCGACAAATCTATGAAAACTTGAAAATCTTGAAAATTGATGGTAAAAAAATACATTAAAAAATACGTTATTTCCAAAATTTGAAATCAAATTTTTTTCTCATGTCCATGCATCTTGATATCGAGATGATCAATTTGAGGATATTTTAGCATCAAAACAATCTCGTCTTGTGAAATTTTTGAGGGAGGCTCGAATGTGATTGTTTAGAGCCTCGGCTCAATATAAACTTTTCCCATTTAAAAAAATGCTTCCCATACTTTATTTGTTAATATTTAGAAAAAATTACATAAAAATCCCTTATACTTTGCGTTATTATCGATATACCAAATAGCTTCCGTTGTTACATTTATATTTGTTTTTTTCCTTTTACAACGTAATTTTTTTAAAAAAAACACTTCACCATTTTTCGGATATTGAACATCCGAATTGGTGGGAACTTCCGATATTCATCTTCCGAAACTAGGCCTAAATTTAAACGTTAAATTTCCTATTTCCAGATGATGAACATCTGAAATTAAGGAATTTTCGGATGTTCAACATCCGAAAATATCCCGATAGTTTAACGTTAAGTACAACATTTTCGGATGTTGAACATCCTAATTTAAGAGACTTTCGGATGTTCAATATCCGAAAACAGAGAAGACGAAGGTTTATTTAACTATCAGAGTATTTTCAGATGTTGAACATCTGAAATTCTCTTAAATTTTGATGTTCAATATCCGTAAATGTTATACTTAATGTTCAACAATCGGGGTATTTTTGGATGTTGAACAATCGAAAATCCCTTAATTTCGGATGTTCAACATCCGAAAATAGGACTTTTAACATTTAACTTTCAATTTATTTTCGGATGTTGAACATCCAAAAAAGAGTAAAGTGATCTTTTTAAAAAAACGAAATTACAAAAGGTAAAAAATAGACATACATGATAGAACGAAAGCTATTTGATATATCCATAATAACATAAAGTATAACGAATTTATATATAATTTTTCCTAATATTTATTCCGGCTACATTTTCTATCTCTTCTTTGAGTCTCACATATTTTCTCTCTCTTGCCATTTCATGCATCTCTCACCTTAATGAGCATCGAGT